TGAGCCACGGGAGTTGGATTCAAATCAACAAGATCATCATAACTTTGAGACTCTGACTTCTCCATCTTCTGAATATCTTCAATATTCTGATCCTCCATAAAGATAACATCACGGCTTCTGACAAGCTTCTTCTCAACAGGATCATAAAGTCTATAGCCAAATTCATCATGACCATAGCCAACAAAGATGCACTGCCTCGTCTTGACATCTAATTTGGATCTCTCATCCTTTGGCACATATACAAAAGCTTTACACCCAAAAACACGCAAATGGTCATAAGAAACATCTTTCCCGGACCATACTCGATCTGGAACATCTCCATGTAAAGCAGTAGCAGGTGATAAATTAATCACATGTGCAGCAGTATACAAAGCCTTTCCCCAAAAAGATTTAGGCAAACGTGCTTCTGAAAGTAAACATCTGACTCTCTCCACCAATGTTCTGTTCATCCTTTCTGCAAGGCCATTGAGCTGTGGAGTTTTGGGAGGCGTCTTCTGATGTCTGATGCCCTGTTGTCTACAATACTCATCAAACGGGCCAAGGTATTCACCACCATTGTCTGTGCGAATACACTTCAACTTCTTTCCTGTTTCTCTCTCAACGAAAGCATGAAAATGTTTAAAGACCCCAAGAACTTGGTCTTTATACCTCAAGGCATACACCCATAGTTTCATTGAGCAATCATCAATGAATGTAACAAAGTAACGTGCACGACCATGCGTCTTTGTCTTCATAGGACCACAAACATCTGAATGTACCAATTCAAGCAACTCTGGTTTTCTGAAAGATGGACAACTCTTGAAGGACACCCTGTTCTGTTTCCCAGCCAAGCAGTGACTGCACCTTTTTAAATTTGCATCCTTCACTCCTGACAGAACATTCTTCTTGGCTAAACAATCAAGACCCTTCTCGCTGATGTGACTCAATCTTCTATGCCATAATTCTGAACAACTATCACTCTCGACAGCATTGACAGAATCAATAGAGACTGAAGCATTGGTCCAGTATAAACCTGAACACTTCTTCCCACGAGCCACAATAAGAGAACCCTTAGTGAGTTTGCATTGCCCATCACCAAAGGTACTCATATAACCTTCATCATCCAAGACACTAGTAGATATTAGATTTAAGCGAATATCTGGTGCATGTCTGACATTCTTCAACACTAACTTCATCCCAGCTTTTGTTTCCAGGACCACAACTCCAATGCCAACAACCTGTGAACGACCATCATTACCCATCTTCAATACCCCATAATCACCTGGAGTATAAGATGTGAAGAAATCTTTCCTTGACGTCGCATGGAAAGCGGCACCACTATCGATAACCCAACTTGATTCATCAGAGGCAACATTAATCAAGTCGTTATCAGAAACAACTATGAGATCACCTGAAGTCGTGGCTGCAACATGGCGATCATTTTCACCATCTTTCCCTTCTGGCTTGTTCTTGTCTTTGTTCTTCAGCTTGAAACAGTTTTTCATCAAGTGCCCCTTTTTATGACAATAATGGCACTCAACATTTTTGTATTTTGATCTAGACTTGCTCCTGCTCTTGCCCCTTTTGAATTCTCCATGATCTCTGTCTTTGCTTCTCCCCCTATTTTCAGTAACCAAGACATCAGATTTTGAAGTTGATGTCTCATGAGTTCTACGTCTCACTTCTTCATTCAGAACGGCTGCTTTGACATACTCCATAGTTACTGTACCACCAGGAGCAGAACTAATCAAAGACACACGAAGATTTTCCCAAGAATCAGGCAAAGTATTCAGCAACCAAAGTCCCAAAATCTCATCCTCGAACTTTACGCCCATGTCTGACAACTGATCAAAACACCCTTGAAATTCATTCAAGTGGTCAGAAATAGAAGAACCTTCCTTGAATCTCAGATTCATAGCTTGCCTAAGCAAATACAGCTTGTTATTCCCTGTTTTAGATGCATACAAGGATTCAAGCTTGTCCCACAAAGATCTAGCATGAGATTCATTGTAGATGTGATTCAGAACATTATCATCTACCCACTGACGAATGAAACCACAAACCATTTCATGTTCAAAAGTCCACTCTTCATCACTTTTTGACTCTGGCTTCTGAATAGCAAACACTGGTAGATGCAGCTTTTTCACAAAGAGTAAGTCCTTCATTTTACCCTTCCATTTGTGATAATTTGTGCCATTCAAACTTATCATCCTGCTGTAATTTGGCTCCATCATTCAATCAAGACAAATAATAGATTATTCCGGTGCTCTGATACCACTTGTTGGGAAAGCAAGAACACAAATGATTGTGTAGTGCCCAAGATCAACACCTTTCCCTCTTGAATGAATCTGTGAGGAGCAACAAACAAACACACCAAAGAACACCAAGCAACAAGATAATCCAAGAACGAAAAATAAAGTGATATGAGGCACGAGATTTTAACGTGGAAAACCCTTTCAATGTGAAAGAGTAAAAAACCACGAGACCCTTCGGTCCAACCAACTCTACTACCACCAAATTGAGAGTACAAATGCACAATATAACAGCACCACAATGATATCTAGCCCTTAACAACACTACGAAGGCACTAGAATCAAAATAGAGGAACAAAAGTGCAAGAAATCACCAAAAAACAGCAGCTAGTGCGAAGCTCATAACTTGAGATTGAACCGTTGAAATTCGATCTCCACCGTTCAGATTGAAGCTCCACGAGTCCTTAGACTCCTCCTAAAATTTCAGCTCGATCGGACAAGATTTGGACCTCCAATCGACCAAAAAACCAGACCTGCGTTTTGAAGAAAAAGGCAGCGAATTCCTCTCCTCTTACGGCTGTGTTTCTCCTTTCTTTTGTGCGTGAATTGTGTATCCAACCAGCTGTACCTCTCAACAATTTATACCCTTAATTGGCCATCAAAAGTGGATTAAAATTGGGCTTGAGTATTACACTCCAAATGGGCTTTTAAAACACATAGTTGGGAGCCCAAACCCAACACCTTAACAAGAAATGCCCACAATTTAATGCCTCTTATTTCAAAAAGGCATGGTGATCTTCCCAGGAGTAGTGTAAATGTGTAATCTCTATATCTCTGTGCAAACATGATTGCTACTACTGAAATGAATATTCAGTTTTGCAGGATGGGACATAAAACAAATTACTACAACTATCCCCAGCTTGTCAATATTCTTGGAGCCAATAGCTGTTTGCATTATATGTGTTCAAGTTGCTTGTCCCATGCCTTTTTTTGGCTGGGAATCATTTGGCCCTTCACCTGCTGAGGCTGTACTTTATTCTCCAGATGCCAAACTTCCAAGAACAGGTGAGTTGGCTTTGAGAAGAGCTATCCCTGCAAACACAAGTATGAAAGCCATACAGGTCTGCCACTATTTGCACTGATCATAGAGCTAGTTCATTTAAATAATCATTCATAACTTGTATTGTTAGTCACATTACTTTTTAATTGAAATCTCTCTATCCCTCTCTCTGACAAAGCAATCCCTTGAGGACATTTCATACATGCTAAGGATACCACAGAGAAAACCATATGGCACAATGGAGAGTAATGTGAAGAAAGCTCTTAAGGTAAGGCATATGTTTTGCATTAATAAGGAAAGGAGGGGCATAAGGCTTGGAGAAAGATCGAATAGGGGAAACATTGTCGAAGAGCTAGGAAATGAAACAGTTGTGTTCTGTATTTAAATGTTTAGATCTTTTTCCTCCTTTCGTGTTTCAGATTGCAACTAATGAGAAGGAAGCCATATTTGCTAGCATACCACTTAACATGAGAGAAAATGGTTCGGCTTTGTATGCATCTCTAATTGATGGAAAGGTAGTCTAGTCACTATATGAGATTTTCCCTCTATGTTTAGGACCATTCAGTTATTAGTCTTACTTGTATGCCTTTGATTCACATATTGGTTAGAAGTTTGATTGACCGATATCTGCATATGCAATGGCTACAATAAAGACTTACATTATTCAGTTGTGATCAGGATGGATTGCAAGGCCTTATAGAGTCTATTGAGGATAATGACCTAGATAAGGTCTCAGCTGCTGTTGCGTCTTCACTTGATACAGTTTCACAGTTGGAGTTGTTACAGGTACGCATGTGGATTGCCCATAGGTAAGACAGTAATGTGTATATCCTTTGAGAAGTGGATTGCCTATATTAGATTAACAACACGCTACTACTATGAGATGTTTAATAGTATCTCAAGAATGCTCTTGTGGCAGGCTCCAGGGTTATCATTTCTGTTGCCTGATCAGTACTTGAACTATCCGAGGTATCACTTATAGCACACCATATATTTTTGCGTGTTTGCATATAATATGAGTACACATGCCTAGCAATGTATTGTTGTTAGCATGTTACTTGATGAAAGTAGGCATGTCACAATCTTTTACCGAATTCCTTTAGGCTCACAGGAAGAGGAATGGTAGAATTCACTTTTAGGAAAGGAGATGGTTCGATGTTTTCTCCAGAAGCCGGAGGTGAAGCAAAGAACATGGCAAAAGTTCAGGTGGTGAATGCTTGGCCTCACAGGCTACTCTCTCCATTTTGGATTGAAAATTACTGCTTCACATTGTCCAGACTGCAGTGCCTATTTCCTGAATTCACTTTTGCATTGTATCTTTTCGTCATCCCCTAATTCGATAAATTATATAGTATTCCCTTTGTCCACCATAGATCTTCTCAAGTTAACTTTTTGTGGTTTTTAAGGAGAATTGGAAAAGGTGGATGTTTACTAAAATACCCTTAATGAAAGTCGGTGGAGTATATTAAATGAGATGGGTGATGTATAATAATTAAAGTGAGGATAGTTGTGGTATTTTAAATGTTAAAAAAGGTAATGATCTTTCCCTGACAAAGAAAAAGGGCGTTTGGGAAGATCTATAGCGGACAGAGGGAGTGCTTGCAGCCTTTGTTTACAATAACCAGTTCATCATAATGACATCTATTCAGGTTGTTTTAGATGGCTATTCAGCACCACTGACCGCAGGAAACTTTGCGAAACTGGTAAGGTAGTGAAATCTAACTTCTTCATTCCAAGTACTTGAATATAGAACAAGAACCCCCAGTATATGTATGTTTCCAACTCTGTGGGAGTGTCATCCTAAGTACTTGTTTCATCTTCTTTGCAATTGAACCTATAACTGCATATACAGGTGGTGGATGGGGCATATGATGGGGTGAAGCTCAACTGTGCAAATCAAGCAATTCTCACAGAACACCGGCTGGGAAAGGACAATGGATATAGCATTCTGTTAGAGATCATGCCAACCGGCCAGTTCGAGCCAATATACAGAACAACCTTGAGTGTGCAGGTCCATACACTTTTGAGGCTTTGTATAGTAGCTATCTATTTACGGGTAGTCGGGTACTGACCCGAAACTCTTTACATCACTTATATATTTCTCAAATACAATAAGTAACAGTTCAAATTTTGCTGTGACTAAGGATGGGGAGCTTCCTGTGCTCCCGTTATCAGTTTATGGAGCAGTTGCAATGGCACACAGTGATGTTTCCCACAAGTTTTCCTCACCATCCCAGTTTTTCTTTTATCTGTATGACAAGAGAAATGTAAGTGGCATTCGCACGTTTATTACTAGCACTGTCTCATTGTTCTGAGTTTATCACTTGTCATTTTTATCCTGCCCTTGTTTTTGTAGGTTCTGTTTGGATTTAACATAAGTATTACAAAACTAAAATGAATTTTCTTCACAGTCTGGCTTAGGAGGCATATCTTTTGAAGAAGGTCAATTTTCGGTTTTTGGGTATGCTTATCAAAAACTGAGCTCAGATGATTTGCAGTATTAAGCTCCAGCAATCCATCTATCTATCTATACATACATACATACATACATACATACATACATACATACATACAAACATACATACATACATACATATATATATATATATATATATATATATATATATATATATATATATATATATATATATAGGTTTTTAAAATAAATACGGAGTAAAGAAATGAAAATATGTTGGCTGTGCATGTAGGTATACTACTGTTGGAAGAGAAATTCTTTCTCAAATAAAGAGTGGCGATATGATTGTATGTGCAAAGCTTGTTGAAGGCCAGGATCGCCTGGAACTATCTAAAGAGAAGCTGTGAAGTCTTAAGAAGAGTTATTCAGCATCTCACTGGCTTTGTATCCCCCTCAGGTAGCTGTTCCTGATTTAAAGGAAAAATGTTTCCCTTAGAATAAACCATGAAATCAGTAATCCACCACTTCATTGGTCCTGTACATTCATTTGCCATTATTGTTCATCCACATGCCTTCCATTTCTGCTTCTTATTTTTACTCTCCTTCATATCTTTGTTTGGGGAACTTAAAATTTTTTGTAATTTCTTTCAAAAGATATGCCTCCTAATGCTATTATCTTTTGAAGTCAAATTCCAAAAGATATGCCTCCTAAGTCAAACATGGAATTTGAGCCAAATCCAAATTTCTTCGCAGTCTGGCTTAGGAGGCATATATCTTTTAATGCTTTGGTGCGGAGATGCGAGAGGCTTACGTTGGTAGGAGTAAGGGAAAGGGTAGACCTTGGAAGAGTTGGGAGGTGATTAGATAAGACTTAGGACTTCCTTCCCTTACAAAGGATATGAGCGTAGATAGAAGCATTTGGAGAGTTAGGATTAGAGTTGTTGAATAGGTGTCTTGTGCTGGGGTGGGGGGTTGCTGTGCTCCGTATGCCTTATTTGCTTGGTGTTTGGCAGTATTTCTCCTTTGTTAAGTTTAATAGAGTATGTTTGTTGACTCTAGATGCTAAGTGCTTTGTGTGAGTTGTAGTTGTGATTTTTCTACTTTATGTATCTACTGTGATTCTTACATATGTGCAGCATGAGCCGCGGTTTCTTGGAAACAACCTCTCTACTTTCGAGTAGTGGCTGACTGACAAAGTCTGCGTATGCACACCTTCCCCAGAACCTACTCTTGTGGGATCCAACTGGGTTGTCGTTATCTTTTACTCCCTCTAATCCTAATTTAGTTGTTCACTTTATTATTTTTGTTTGTCGAGAAATAATTTTCTATTTTTCATATTCAATAAAGAAATTATGGTAAATAGTCTAAAATATCCTTGAGATAGTGTGAATTTTATTGACTTGAATGAATGTAAATTTTTTGTACTCCTTATCAAAATATTTATGTTTTACCTGTCCTTATTTTGTTTACTTTCTTATTTTCATTTTTATTGAATTAGTCTTATTTTTACGAACATGAATTTAGATTTCAAATCTAGATTTGGTTCAAATTTCATGTTTGGGAAACTTAAAATATTTGGATTTGGATTTAGATTTGAGGCGAATTTTTCTCATTCATAACAAAGTTCAATTTGAAATTCATACATATCTCTTTGTCCTTTGAAATTCAATATATTAAATTTTGAAATTTGAAAAATTTGAAATGAAATATTAGTTCTCAAACACTTATTTCAGAAATTTGATTCATACTTAAAATATCCTAGAGATATGGTGTGAGTATCATTGACATGAATGAGTGACTAAATCATGAAGATGTGTCTGATAAACCCATTTCTTAAATTCAAAAGTAAGGAGTATCTCATTAGACCATCTTCAATCTATAATACTCCCTTTGTCCACCATAGATCTTACGAGACACTATTCACAGAGTTAAATTTTATTCACTTTGTTCATTTTTACTAGTCATTTTGTAAAATAATATAGTCTTGTCACCTCTAGTTTTATAGAACTTTGTTTGTTCATTTTTACTAGTCATTTTGTAAAATAATATAGTCTTGTCACCTCTAGTTTTGTAGAACTTTTCATGTAATTTATTACTGTAAAAATTTTATTTTAAAATTTTACTCCTATATTCAATTAAGTTGAAAATAAAGTCGGTCAAACCTTGTCACGCGTAATGGGAAGATCTTAGGTGGACGGAGGGAGTATCAAACTTAAAATGCAGTATAAAGTCAAAATAAAGTAATCTCAAATAACAATGTATTACATCAAACTTAAAATCTATTACATCAAACTTAATCTCAAATAACAATGTACGGAGTATTTCTTTTTTCTTTACTTTTTTCATATTTTAGTTTTAATTTTAAAATGCATTAAGCTCTAAAATAAGTAGGTACCATTCGTCACATATTGTAGTGCATTTTTAGAGCATGGGCAGTGGCGTGTCAAAGCCACTGCCACACATGCCACATAGGATTTGACACGGGATATTTGGGCGAGGCATGAAGGGGTAACTCCCCTTTCCGTGGCATGTGCGAGGCATATACTTGCTCCAATTTCTTTTCTTTTTTTTTTCTTTTGGAAAAAAAGAAGAAATACTTCTTATTTAGTTATTTTTATAGATATATTTTTATGATACAAATATATGAAAACTAATTTATAATACGGAGTAATAAATATCTAAAAAATATAAAAAGTTACAAAAGGTGAAACTTCCACATTGTTTTTTAAATTTTGTTTTTTGGATTTAGAAAAATGTTTTTTTCTTACAAGAAAGAAGAATTCTTTAGAGTACATCTATTTTTTGCCTCACTTTCAGTCTTGCATTTGTTTCTTTTCCATCTTTTTTTGTATCTAAAATTAAAACCCTCTTCCTTCAAAAAAATAAAAAATTAAAATTAAACTCCCTTTTTAAAAATCTAATAACGTAACCCTTGGTTCTAAAGCTAAAAATATATATTTTTAAATTAACATTATATCCAAGACTACACAATTTAAATTGATAATTAAAATAATTTTGAATAATTAAATTATATATAATTACAAAAAAGAATAAAAATAAATATACTTGGACTAATTAAAATATGTCAAAAATGTAAACATTGAGAAAAATTATGACTTGCCATTGTAGAACATGCCACTGCATGACAAGGATGTTTTCGATTGGTTGAACTTTGACACGTCAGCGTGTGGCATCTCTAGCGTGTGGCATCTCTGAATATGCCTTGCCATTGTTCATGCTCTTATTATTCACATTGTTAAGATTTATTTATTTTCTTTACATTTTTATTATTCATTTGATAAAATAATATAGTCATGTCGCTTCTTAGTTTGTAAAACTCTTGATGTAATCTTTTAAATACTCCAACTCAATTTCATATTAACTGAATTGAAAATAATTTCAATCTAATATGAAACGTGCAATTTAAATTGGGAAAGTGGGAGTTTATAAATAAAATAAAACTGAATTTTCAATGAGCAAACAAATTGCATCTATACTTTATTTAAAAGCAGGGGAATAGTTGACCAAAAAATGGGTGGGAAAATTTTATGAAAATGTTATGTGCATTTAATGCATTATTTATGGAAATAATTATACATTAAATGTATTATGTGGGAAAATTTTATGGAAATGCAGTGTGCGTTTAATGCATTATATTATTTATGGAAATAGTTATGCATTTAAAAAAAAATTTACGAAAATAATCGATATCAATATCAATATCAATACTTATTTAAAAAGATGGGAAATTTTGACCTACTTTCCCGCTCATTGACTTTGCATTATAAATGGAAAATTATGCGCCTTTATTATTTTTTGTGTCTTATATGGAAATGTTGTGTGTTCCTTCCATTGTGTCATTATAATATAATTTTATGTATGAAAACATAAATACTCCATATTGGAGAGTATGTAGGAAAATATATTACCATACATAACATTTTACTATTTTTAGGGACATAAACATGATTTATTAATTTTTATTATTATTATTATTATTATTATTACTATTATTATTATTATTATTATATACAATATGTATAAATATAGCATCCAAAAAATGTAGCATTATATTTTCCATACATAAAATTTACCATACATAAAATCATCCTCTATTTAAATGAAAGGAATATGTTGACCAATAATTTTTCTATTCACGTAATTTTTATTATAGATGGAAATAATTTTTTCATATACGTAAATAAATAAATTTTTATAACTAATTCTTTGATCTTCCTTATTGTAAAAATTACCTTTGTGCAACACACTTTTTCTAGCATTTTTGGTGTGTTCTTCCACTCTAACTATTTATATTTTTACATTAAAAAATAAATAATATAAATATTTAAAAAAATTAAATTATATTAAATCTGTATTATAATTAAATATAAATACTTTTTAGTCACAGCCGAAGTATTAAAATTAAAATTTTAATTTAGAAAGAATAAATGTAAATGAAATTGTATGATGGAAAAGAATAAAATAACGTATGCATTAATATTTTTATTTTTTATTATATATTTACTTTTATTGTATAAGGAGATTAAAAATTATATATGGAGATATGGACATTAGCACCGGCCGTGCTACTACCCGGGAAAATTTAATGCTTTACACTTTTTGTAGCATTTTCAATTTTTCTTTGGCCTTTGGATGTATAAATAGGTTGTTTTTCCCCATTGAAAATCATATGTTTTTCCCTTTTGAAGGTAGGCACAACTATTACGTTGCTAAGAACAATGATCATTCAATAGATTTATAAAATAGTACTCAATTAATAGTAACTCAATTGGCTAATCACTTAGTACACGAAAAGATATTATCTAGAAGACACGTGAACAAAAAAGTTGTTATTCCAAGACTATCATTAACACTATGTGATGCAAGAATTCTATTTAAGTTTCAAAGAAAACAATTAACTAGGATTACTTCATATGCAACGACAATTAACCAGAGTCAGGATTAATTTCCAAAATACGTAGAATTATTTTCACTAAAACCAGTATTTAGTCATGGATAAGTATTGTGCTTATTGGTTTTAGTACCTTTTGTGATGCATTGGATGCTTATTGGACCTCTACGACACTCTTAAATGCGGATCTGGTATTATACTTGTTCTGATATAGAAAGTATATATATATATATATATATATATATACACTTATTTGTACTGCATGAGATTTGTGGTACGATGACTTTTTGGTTTATTATATTTAAGCAAATTTTTTCCTCAATCATGCAATTGAAGTGGTGTTATTGTGTTTGTGTTAACACCAAGGGGAGTAAGCTAGAAGTATTGGATCTTTCTTCGTAATGCGCAAGAGCTGACAAAAAATACGAGAACATGCTTGCTAAGCTTGTAAGTTAAAGAAATGTATTTCAGTATTCTTTTTCTTTGATAAAGTAATGTCTTTCAGTGTTGATTTTTTCTCAACATTTAAATGCAACCTGACATGCATGTAAAATTTTTTCCAACAAAGGCTCGGAGGGGAAGTTGAGAAAACTAAGTTCACAGCGGGCAATGCAGCTGAAAATGCCTTGGAGGGAGTCCACTACAATACATGAGTATGGTGTTGCAACTATGCGTCATATGGAGACTTACATGGGTCGTGGAGTGAAAGGATAGGACTGTGGCTTGAGCAGGGAAGATCGTAAAGCATTCAATGCATTACACACAAAATTCAGTGCTTGTATAATTCTGGCTGAGGTGAACGAGATGAAGGACGCGAATATAACAAAGGCAAAGAAGTTTGTGGCTGATTGATGTTTGTTCTTCACAGATTTTAATTTTTGGTGTGTTATCTAAGGTTTTGCATACTGAAATTTAGTTTTTTTTGTGCGAGCACATATGCTTTTGTTAACTTTATTCTGGTTTTTTTATGGATTTTCTGCACTTATCTAACATAAATGAATGATGATTTGGGGTTAGGAATTTTGTTTTTCAATGGGGATTGAATGTTTGGTAAGTTTTAATAGTATGTTTTATGGATTTTTTATGGAATTTATCTGCTTTTTTATAGTGTTGATTCTCGTGAATATTAATTAGTGTATGTCATTAAGTGTAGAGGTACTATTCCTGGTCTAGTTTTTGGATGAATAACTTATCTAAAAATATATTTAGTTATTTTTTGGATAATGGCTAGAAGTGTGCATCGTGCTTGAAGTGCACATCGTACGAAACCAGAATGCATTGTATTTGTTTAAAGATGTAGCTTCGAATTCTTTGTTGAGGGACTAGCCAAAAAAAGTGGAATTACCTTGTTTGGTAGAATGCATCGTAATCAATTGCAAAATGCTTTCAACATAGTTGTTAGATGCATTAGTGTAATTAAAATGATAGCTTTTCAATAGAAGGACAAAGGAC